GGAGAGTTTGATAAGAAAGTATACTCTCAACGTCGGACCCAGCGTGAGTAAGATTTCCATTTTCAATTTAAATTATTTTAGAAATTGTGTATTAATCTGTTTCTTTCCACAATTATCTTCATTTGTTGTAAAATCCACACCAAATTGGTCATTAGTGAATTGTTAAAAGTTGGGTTGCATATTCTGGAATAATGTTCAAATTTTTCAAAAGACCATGATCAGTTGGTCGACACAACAAGTCGAGACAATATAATTTTGATACAATGTTTAAAGTTAACGTTCAAATGGATTCATGCATACGATACCGATGAAGATTTTTAAGATTTTAAGAAATGCCGATCAATCATGAAAGCGACCACTGAAGATCAAGACCCATTGATTGATTGACTGATTGATTAACGTTTAACAATTCTTTTGACTATTCAGCATTCTTACATTTTAATTCAAATATAGATCGCTCCAAACCACGACATCGTTAATTTGATGACATGTTTAAGAAACGCATCCACATTGTTTTGTGCTACCTTAGAATTATCTGGAAGTATTGATCTTCTGATTGATTGAAACTGAAATGTTCGCATTCACACGATCCACATGGTTTTGGCCGATAATCAAAGGGAATTGATTTGTTAAATTGTAGTCACGATGCGGAGTCTTTGTTAGAGCCCTTTTGTTTCGTAACCACTCAAAGTTATCCGTTGACAAGTATTGACTCGGGAGATATTGTTTTAAAAGTTTATATATCTCGTGATAGGGAGGCCCCCCGCAACCGCACCTTCCGTCGTAACAGGTCCTAGGACCTTGCATGATGGAGGAGTATCAGTCGCTTCAACTACTGTTCCCCAGACCAACAATATCCCCCCTAATAACACCACCCATAGCAACACAAACATCAACACTCAACAAAACAACAACAACAACAACACTAACAACAACAAAAACAAAAACAAAAAACGACACAATAAGACACAGAGGGGCAGACTGTGTCAAAAGACTACTCACAAAAATGGTAAGAATTGCTTGGATTCTTATTCTATTACTCAGATTAACCTCAAACGCAAGTTTAATGCATGGAAAACCCTCCTAGCCAACATACATGGCAGGAAAAATCCAGTCATTCTTGCTACTGAACCGTACTCGAATAACAAAAATATCATACCACCTATAAATAAAGATCTGTCCAACTTCTACTACAAAATCGGGGATAAAAGACCCCGTGCCGCAATTGTACTGCACAAAAACCTGACAGCTAAATGTTGGGAACTTACACAATTCACAACACCCGATCAAGTGGCCGTTAAAATCCAACTCAGCTCGACAGAACTCATTCTGGCAGCTTCATACATGGATATAAACGGACCGGTACCGCCACAAGAAACATCACCTCTAGCGAAATATGCCAATGATAACAACATCCCGCTCATTATAGGGTCGGACACGAATTCCCATCACACCCTTTGGGGGAACAAGACATGCAATACGAGGGGAGAGGAGCTACTTGACTTTCTCTCCTCCCTAGGGCTGTCATGTGCCAACAAAGGATCATCCCCAACCTTCCTCAACTCTCGAGGCCACAATTCAATTATCGATCTTACAATAACAAACCAGTTGGGAGGAGACCTCATTAGCAATTGGCATGTTAGTGACCTCTACTCCAACTCTGACCATCGCTATATTATGTTCGACATAACTACAGGGCCAAAGAAGGAACCCAAACAGATCCGACTAGTCAAAAACACTGACTGGGACAGATTTGATGAGATCCTATCGAATAACCCCAACCTTAACAACACACAAATCAACACTACGACCGAAATTGATCACAATATAGACATCATCAATACTGCACTTAAGGAAGCCTTCGAGGAGGCATGCCCCATTACTTACATCTCAAGTTCCGTCCGCAAACCCCCCTGGCTAACTCGAGAAGTAGAGGAAGCACAGAGGGGAATAAGACAAAAACTGATTACAGCCCGAAAAAAGAAAACTGATGCCCTGTGGCTCGCTCTTAGAGAGAGCAACAAACAATACAACAGACTTATATCCAACTCCCAGCGTAATGCCTGGAGAACTTTTTGTCAGGAAACAGAGTCTGTTAAGGAATCCGGAAGGATGAACAAGATTCTGAAATCCTGCAACGACAACAAGCACACACTAGAAGCCGTTTACAAACCAAACGGAGACATCACCAAAAATGCAGAGGAGACACTGGAGGTCATGACACAAACCCACTTCAAGGATAGTGTCACTGACCCGCCAGTGCCTCCACCTGGACCTCTACCAATCACCACCACCTTACTCAATACCATCTACAGCCCAGACAGAATCGAGGAGGCTCTTAAATCCTTTGATCCGTTAAAAGCTGCTGGACCCGACACCCTCAAACCTATCATCATACAGAAAGCTTGGACACACATCAAAGACATCACCAGAACCATTATGACAAAAAATCATGAAACCCAACACATTCCAACTTTGTGGAAAGAATCCCTTGGAATCTTTCTCCCAAAGCCTGGAAAAACTGACTACAACCAACCAAAATCATTTCGCACTATCACCCTTTCTCCAGTGATGTTAAAACTACAGGAGAAGGTGATACTGTGGCATATGCAACACGACCTTAATATCGCTAAAGACATCAACAAACGACAATTTGGCTTTAAAAAGGGATGTTCAACCGAAGCAGCCCTTCATAAAGTTACTCACACCATCGAGCGCAGGATAGCTAAGAAGGGATATGTCTTAGGAGTCTTTCTAGATATAGAGGGAGCTTTTGATAATGTCTCTTTCAAGGCTATTTCTGACGCTATCAAGACCACGAAAGTGGACCCGGCCACAGCACAATGGATCATCAACATGGTAACTAACAGATTCATCACATTAAATCATAAGGATAAGTCGAAAAGGGTTCGGATCCGGAGAGGGTGCCCCCAAGGTGGCATCCTTTCCCCTTTCCTTTGGAACCTGGTAGTCGATGATCTCCTGGCCTACACCGCAAGAGACATACCAGGTTATCTGCAAGCTTTTGCAGATGATCTGCTTTCTCTAGCGGAGGGGAATGATTTAGACATCATCTGGAACAGAACACGCAAAACCATCAACACAATAGAAAAATGGTGCCAAACCAAAGATCTATCCATAAGCGCACTCAAAACACAAATAGTCATGTTTACCTGGAATAAGAAATGGACACTTAGACCTGTGGTGGTGGGTAACACCACTATAGGTCTATCCAAATCTGCCAAATTCCTAGGAGTGACCCTCGACAGCAAGCTCAATTTCAATGAACATATCACCAATACCACCAAAAAAGCTACGGCATCCCTTATGCAATGTAGAAGAGCTGTCGGCCCCACTTGGGGTATGAGCCCTAAAACATGCAAATGGATGTACACCGCTGTCATCAGACCTATTCTATCATACTGCTGTAGTATATGGATTAGGGCAACCCAAACAGACACCAACGCGAGGAAGTTCAAACGAGTTCAGGCATTGGCATTGAGAATGATGTCTGGTGCCATGCCTAGTACTCCCTTCATCGCACTGAACCACCTCACTAACACTCCAGATATCATACTTTTCCTGAGAGGTGAAGCAGCAAAGGGCACAGCCAGGCTTCAAGCATATGGAAGCCTAACCCTCGAAACTATCGCCCCCAGAAAAGGTACCATCACAACTCACACCACTATCAACAAACAATTCATGGTAGACCTCAACATACCACCCAAAGCAGAGAGAGACCTATCTATACCAACCATGATGCTTGAACGACGCTTCACGGTCACCACTCCTGGAGCTGACAACATTGAATATAGAGGCTCACTCCAAAACACCATCGACAACATCCCCAGTGAAACCATCACCTGCTACACAGACGGGTCACGCACAGACTCAGGTAGCGGGGCTGGTTATATTATCACCACAGACAACAACAACACTACACTAGATGAAAGATCATTCAAGCTTCCTGATTATTGCACCGTTTATCAAACTGAACTCACTGCCATCATCGAAGCTTGTAAATATCTATCAACTTACACAAACACACATATCATCATATGGTCAGACAGTCTCTCCTCTATTCAAGCTATATCCTCACCTTCAACGAGGAGTAGAACCACTAGAGACTGCTACGACACCCTCAATACACTCGGATCCACTAACACCTTAGAGATCAGATGGATAGCAGCACACATCGGATTGTGGGGTAATGAAAAAGCAGACGAGCTGGCCAAAAATGGCACAACCAGTGAATCCACTTTGAATTGCCCAATTCCACAATCTTACATCAAACGCCTGATCAACGACAAAGTCACAAAACTTAATCAAGAATCATGGATTACTAATGGTCCCAGACACACTAAACTGACACTTGGACATAAAAACATCAACATCATCAAAAATCTCAACACTACACTCAGCAACAACAGACAAAATTACAGAACTGCAGTGCACCTCATCACGGGACATTGTGGCCTCAACAAACACCTACACACCATCCACAAATCAGACACAAGTGCTTGTCCAAAATGCGGCGACGGAGAGGAGACTGTCTCACACTTTCTCGGACAGTGCCCGGCTATTGCCCAAATAAGAGGTCAATATTTCCGGGACTACTACCTCTCTGTCAATGACATATTCGACAACCAACACATCTCCACCATTGTCAACTTTACAAACCACACTAAACGCTTAGTGGTGCCGGAGGAGTTGGACCAGACAGGTGTAACATAGCGACTACTTTAACGCCGTCTTGTTTCGCCCTTCTCTTCCACACTCAACCACCACCTAACCGTTTATCTATAACACACCCCACAACACTTACCATCATCCGTGATTACACATCTTGATTCCGCTGGCATCCTCCCACAGGACTGCCATACCCCAGAGGTAGGCAAAGCATCCATATGCTATCCTCTCGTGGGCCAACCAGGCCCAGCCTCTCTTTAAAAAAAAAAAAAAAAAAAATATCTCGTGAATTGTTCAATCAGTATTCAGGTGTTAGCTGGAGTTTAGTTATTACGTTTCGTATCTGTTTTGTTGTGCTTGTTACTATAGAGCAATACTAATACAACATTACCGGTAACTTGTTATTAAACTGTTGTGTGATTAGTGTTGTACATAGTTGAGTGTTTCATAGTTAAGTGTTGTTCATAGTTGAGTAGCTGTTCTGAAAAAGTTGTTAACTTTGCAGACAGTTTAGTTTTGGTGGCATGTTGTTGACCTTGATGTATGGCAAACTGGAACTCTGGCTAGAAAGCAAACGACAAAAAAGCAGGCACGGTAATAATGTGTTATCTAGGTTTTGAAGTTTTTGATTATTCTTGGTTTCTGTTTTGTGCTGTTAATACCATAAACCCACATAATGTTGCGTAGTTCATACAATGTTTTGTTTATTGTGTGACGTTTGATATTTTGATGGCCGATAATAAAACCTGTAATTGTCATGGTAACACACAATCTTTATTCATTTCATGACGTCAATGAATTGAATTCTCGATTTTCATCAACCAGTATGATTTATATGTGACCTGGTGTCACATCTTTATCAAGCCTAATTTGGATGACTGCGCAGTGCGCTTAGTTTGATCGCTCTATTAAGTGATTAGAGCTCCAGCTGACTTTAATAAGGAACAAAAAGGTTTCTAAAAATGAAATCCAGCATCTTTTATTCCAGCACTGCTGTGTTGCGGAATATGTGCAAATAAGGGCATAATTAGTTGACTTTCCTCTTCAAGATAGCGAAAAAAGAGAAAATTAATATATTATATTAGAACGTGGTTGTTTGGCACTCTGCCAAGAGATGAGTCTTAATATCTAGAAATGATAAGAGATCTATGAAACAGAGGACGCACTCGTGCTCAGCCGGCAATGTAATATGTGATAGATATATTGGGCATGCTTGTCGTGATTGTACCTGCATTCGGGACACCTTGCCTGCAGGAATGGTCATCATTCGTCTCAGGCATGTCACGTGACACGGACCTCGCTCTCTGATTCGTTCTCACAGTAAGATGTGCTGGGATTGTAATCCCAGCGACCTACTAAATGCTATTTAGCTTTAAATTCAATCAATCAGATAAGGTATGGTGCTGCCACGTGACCCTTACTGACCAACTGCAAGACATGTCATGTTACTAAGTGGAAATGAATTTTTACTGTAATGTTTTACGACGGAACGTTTTTTACTGCGTCAGTAGATTTGTGCTGTTTTTTGTGTTGACATGCCTTCTAGACCAACGTTTAGAATTGACTCTGCCCACCCTTTTAGGGTTATACCCGACAAGTTCACAGGTAAAATAAACTCATATATTTACTCGTATTCCTGTGTAGTTGTTAGTTATCCGAATAGGTTAGCCAACTAGTTATTATCCACTAGGTTACGAAGAGGAAACAGTTGAATGTTCACATCATCAATCTGACTTACCTCAACTCACTCATATACCACTCATCCAACCTCTTAAATCTTCTCTCAGATCTTCTCCTACTCGCAATCATTTACATGTCTCCTTTCAAATCACCCATACCAGACATCATAGAAAGAAACGCTCTAAAAAGCGGCTGTCACGTGAGTTTGGGTTCCAAGTAAAAACAGTAATTTGACCTATCATACATACAGGATATAAAATTACATTGTGTCTTTCTTACTTTGTAGTTTTAACTTTCAATATTTTGAAAATGTTTTCGTCCAGACACACCCTTTCGGTCCTAAGCCTGGAACATTTGTCTTACTGATAGGACAAAGTTAGAATTGTAGATTTTTGGATAACGTCACTTTATTTCATTCCGATTGCCAATAAATTCCTAAATTGTGATTTGTTTTCTAACCAGGTTCAACCGCAGCTAAGGGGGCTTATCAGCGGATTCCGCCACCTTCACTCCGACTTCCTGCTATGTCAAAGAGTTCAACTACTCGACTACCTCCGATATCTGGTGCGTCACCAACTTTATCATGATATTTTCATATTATTTACATGGATTCACGATTATCTGCGCAGTTTATTAATCGATATTTACTTTTAATTTAAATATTTACTAATCTCTCTTAATCTGCAGGTGGTGGTTGGGACAATAGCTCGGACGGCAGGAGCAGCGGGTCAGATATTATGCAACGCCGGGTTGGTTACGAGCGTCAGATGAAACGAGAATACAACGCCAGACACTCAAACCGAATGAATAAGCTGACTGACGAGTCAGCGATGGAGGTTTGAGATCTTTTCCTTGTTTGCTTCCTTGTTTGCTTTCAAACTGAGCTTTTTATTCAATTGTATTAGAAACCACAGATATAAAGCATTCCACAAAATAAGTTACATCATTTCGGTACATGCTGCCTTGTAAACAACGGCTCAAATGACAAACATTTCAGGTATCTGACATACTTTACTCCCACGACCGACAGAGAAGGGCCGATCATCAGATTCGTTTGGAACGTAGACAGAAACTTGCTTTAAAGCACCTCCAGGACCAGGAGCAAAGATTGTAAGCACTCAATTAACTTTAGGATTTATAACAATACTTCGTTACAATTTAGTCCCATCAAACTGCTTTCAATAACAATTTTGCTATTCAGGCAGTCAATAAAAAGTAGTTTTATTAGAAAGTGTGAAAATTTCTTTGGCATAGTCTGTTAGAGGTATATATAATAATTGAACGTAGCCATTATGCCCAGAATGGAAGTAATAAACTGAAGCATGCTCTGAACTTGATACTTGCACTGATTAGAGAGTTTACTATAGGCGCTTTCTGTAAGCGTCAATAATATGGTTAAATTTCAGGCACCAAGCTTATAAACCAGCTGAGAAATTGCGGTCAGAAAAGCGATTTCCAAAGAAATTGTAAGTAGATACTACTCTATATGTTTTATTATTAGTTTTCAGGACACATGTAATCAAGTAATGTAGTTTCGAGTACGGATTCCGCATTCACGCGATTGCAAACAGGGCACAGAAAATTCAATAATCGTGTCCTTTTTTATTCGATTTTCTGTGGTGAGGCTAAATGATGGTTACCGGAATCTTCGAGTATTGAATAACATTGTCATAGCTATAACTGATGATTATAAAATCAGAGAAAATTTAGCAATTTTTTCTATTGATCATATTCTTTAATTCTATTGTGTTGACTTCTCATGTTTTAGCCACAGTCGTCAGCTTAGAATTTAATCAAATTACAAATCAAATCCAATAATGACTGGCTATCAAATTTTAACACCTCTTTTCAATAGGCACGACAAAGTAAGGGTTGGGAGACCACAGGGCTCAGAATACCATCAGAATGTGGTGAACCTGTTTACTACTCCTCGTAGTAAACTGCCCAATTCCCTCAATCAACACTCTGTTCTGCCAAGTGTCAGAAAGGACAAGAAACAAGAGAAACCAAGCATGATCCCAACTTGTAAGCTAACAAGATTTACCATTGTCTTTTCAAATTTTATAAACAGTGTGTACTGTATCATCACATGAGACATTCCCTTTGTATTTCACCACAATATTATAATGGACTTTTTATAACTAAGATTGGTAACAATGTAACTTATAATCAACATTCCATTGTCTCAGATTCTAAGACCAAATCACGGCAAGACCAGCAACCAAAACGAAAACGAGAAGAATCTTCGAAAGTTTCCCAAATACCAGTGAGAGCACCAATTCCTTCTATAAATAAGCCTAAAGCTAAACTACAACCTGAAATCATCCGAGAGGTATTGTTCCCATTGTTTTTGTTTTTATAAAAGCGTCTCCTAAACGAACAGCAGTGCAGTTGTTTGTATGTGTAATGCTCTATTTCTATGTGGAATGTGCATTGTGCATGTACTGATCCTTAGTGTAGGGACCCCTTTTCCCACTCACGTCAAATTTAACTGGCACCTACCTTCCGTACAAAATTATGAATATTGAATAACTGAAATCGGTTTACCATCAATCGGACGTCTGGCGCTTAATATAAATTTGTATGAAAAGTTGCGCGCAAGGACCTTTGGCGGGGTCGTCATAGCAACGTGCCCAAAAATAGTTTCACTCTGTATACATTTCAATAAATAACGTTCCAAACTGTCGATGACGTCAATAAAATTATAAAATTATTCGAAATATAACGATTACCACAGTTTATAACTGATAGTTGCACGTCAAGTTAGATATTAACTTTAAACTACAAGTGAGATCCACAGCGCCATAGTTTTTCCGATATCAGTGTAGACAAGCATAGAATCCGAAACGAACTGTGAATAAGTTATATCGTAGCATCTGATCAGCTCAGCTTATCGATATGATTTTATCAACATTATAATCACCTGACTGTGCATGTTCTTAGGTTGACGGTGGTTCAAACACTCCGCGGTCACACTTGTCAGTGGCCTCCTCCCTTCACCCCGCTTCATCTGTACACACAGCGACTCCAGATCTCATAGAATCTGTTTACATAAGAGAATCAGCTCCTCCTTTAGCACCTCCCGTTGAAGTCATCAAGGGACCTTTTTCAACTCCAGCAAAGCGACCTTCAACTCCGATCGCCAAGCCAACGACTACAAGTTCGAGTAAAGTTTCGGTTACTTCTGGAATTGAAAGTTTGACGGAAGAAGCCGAGGATAAACCAGAAGATGATACTATGCAGAGGGTCCATACCCCTCAAGCAAATGAAGATTTGGGATATGACAGTCCTAAGCCTACTTCAAAACACCCGAAACTGTCTTCGTACGAGGTAAGAGTAACACCAAATTTGTTTAACTCTGTTGCGGTACTAAGTTGACTTACCTAGGTTGATTTAAAATTTGTAATTATATCGTTTTTGAACGAGTACTGTCTATGTACTGTGCTATAGCTTACTTGCATTTTTCGTTTCGAGAAATGATTATTACAACGAGCGTATAAACAGTTGGTATTGTAAACATATATCCCGCAACATACCCGACATTATGGTTAATTATGTGACAGTATTAGAGTGAAGTATATTTAGTGTTTGGTTTAGGTTTTAGAATCGGTTAAATTTGTCGAGGAATTTATTCCGTATGGGTTTTTGTTTGAGTGGGGTTACGTCCAGCTACATAGTGCTACTTCGAGACATTTCTTTGTAACAATGATCTTATCTTCTCTGTCCAGGCTGACGACGATATCAGACCAGCCAAGTTAACTCAGAGAGATAGTGGGTTGGCAGATAGTATCGAGCCGGACTCAACTGAGAGCCGACGACAAAGTGTCACTCCTGACATTAGAGCAACATCTCCGGAACCCGTCGCCGAACAAGAAAGGGTATGTTAACTCTCATAATATTAAGAAAGTAAAAATCGTTCCCTCGTAAGCAAACTGAAAGAAAGTAGTTTCATGACTACACTTTTATAACGAATTCTACTTTTCTATTTGTATGGTTTCAACATTACCTGGGGATCCCAGGCTATAATGTTCCGCCGAATAGAGATTCGGCGGAATGACAGGCTGAACGCCGCACAGTAATTTCAACACGGTTTATGTTACTGATATACTCAATTGACAGGAACCAAGTGTAGTAAACAAACTCGACCCTGTCACTGAGGAAACAGAAATTGAATCTCCTCTTGCAGTCGAGGAGTTCAAATTCAAGCCAATGCTGGAAATATTCAAACCAAAGTCGGAAAACCTTTTCAACAATACCTTCTTTTTGGGTCAAACTCTTGGGGACGGAAACTTTGCTATCGTGAAAACAGCTATCAATAAAGCGACAAAGAATGGAGTCGCAATAAAGATAATCGACAAAGAAAAATTGAAAGGAAAAGAGGGAATGATGATAAATGAGATAAGGATCATGAGAAAGTTAGATCATGATCATTGTGTCAAACTAGTAAGTTGGACGAATGGAACTTATCAATTCCTTTTTACACATTAACTGTAAATAGAATATCTTATCTCACATATTCAATACTGTTCATATCTTTGACCGTAGATTCCCCCAGTACGATATATACGAGAGTGAGCCTCACATTTATCTGGTTACCGAGCTTGTGAAGGATGGTGACCTCTTCGACTGCATCGTAAAAAATCGATGTTTCGCGGAGCATGTAGTGAGAGGGATGATGTTGGACATGGTATCTGCCCTGGAATACATGCACTCTCGGAGTATAGTTCATCGGGACATAAAACCAGAGAATATATTAGTTAATCGTATTTCGGAGAGGTTTCGATTAAAATTGGGAGATTTTGGATTGTCAATGGTGGTCAAGGAGCCGATATTCACAATTTGTGGTACACCTACATATATTGCACCAGAGATCCTTGTCGAATGCGGGTAAGTACTTCATGATACTCCTTAAATATATTCAATGTTCTACAAAATAGCTTGACTCAAATATAAAATATAATGTACATTTTTGTTACTAAACACTTTGGTGGTATAAAAAGCCGATCTTGATTGATATGGCTCTTGAAGTAGAATCAGGATTACACATTTTAAAATTTCCAGATATGGGTTAGAGATTGATATGTGGGCAGTCGGAGTGATAAACTACATCCTGTTATGCGGCTTCCCTCCCTTCAGAAGTAAAAATAAGGACCAAGAGGAACTCTTCTCACTGATCATGGCTGGCGAATTCAGATTTATCAGCCCATACTGGGATAAGATAAGCCATGGAGCCAAGGTTAGATTATTAACACAGGTTAACACAAGCTTTAAAGACGATTATCACAACTTTAAATTTGAAAGCGACCGAAAGAACAACAAATAATAAATTATCTGTCTCAAATCTCAAGCTAATTGTCAATATATTATGAATTAAAAAACTTTTTCTCAGGATTTGATATCCAAGTTGTTGCAAGTCGTGCCCGATGATCGAATATCTGCAAAACAAGTGCTGAATCACAGATGGCTAAAACTGTCTGAAGAATAAGATGCCACCGATCTGAATGTGTGATTTGTATCACGACTCCTGACACACGGATTACTCCTGACACACGGATAGGATAACTCCTGACACACGGATTACTCCTGACACACGGATTACTCCTGACACACGGATTACTCCTGACACACGGATTACTCCTGACACACGGATTACTCCTGATTACCACCGCGTTCAGCGCCTGTGAAGTGTGAAGACACTTTTGGTGCTCTGAAAGAATTGAGAATGTTCCATCATGGTGGTGTGTTTGAAAGAAAATGCTGTTCTAAAGAAGTAATCAGATATGGGCGAGGATTACATTTAATTAATTAATTACTTAATTACTTTTAACATGTGATGTGTATAACTGAACCATTAGTGCATGAACTATGACGGCAAATCAATCAGTAGAATTTGCGAAATTAATTGTAATTTTGTAAAAGTAATGTTTTATCTAGGTGTAACAGTAGTTTATCAGCTAGTTGTACATAATATTTGACAGTAAATGTAAGTTATATATAATACTATATTATGTAATATGGATATTAGTTTTAAGCCTTATATTTTAAATACTTTACAAGTAATCATGATGATTATTGAGATAAACCATTATCTCTGACTGCATGAACCCTATACTTAAAGGCCAACTAATCCGGCAAAAACCTGCTTTGTTGACGAGAGACCTTTTTATTGAAGAAAAGAGTTAGGAGCTAATGTCTAGAAATTTCAGTAAACTTTTCCAAACATCCTCCTCCTTAGACTAGCTTACGTAATATGTGAACGATCACAGTTGTCTCAACTTTAAGTGATATCCAATAATATTGGAATTGGGGAATATCGTGCCCCCCCCCCCCCCCCCCCCCCCCCCCCCCCCCCCCATTTTTGATGAAATTTTGCTATGATGCGATTCGTCGAAGTTGGTTGGCATTGTTGTGCAGAATCAAAGAGCGTATTTCACTATCGAGAAAGATAATAATTTAACATTAAAATAATCATAAGTAAGTCAAATGTGCAGTAAATGATATTTAATAAAATATTCAGATATTTTGCTACTTTTTCGGTATAGCTGCCGTATTTGGCAAACTAAGATTATAGTATTACTGTGTAGGCTGTATGGTAAAAATGTGAAACCATTTTGTGAAAGACAAAATCCAAGCTATAAGTGCAAAGCAAAACTCCGCTCATTTGGTAGGTAAAGCCCTAAATTAGTCTTTCCCTTACACTTTGCTTATTATTTTAGTCATTAATTAATTTCGATTCTTTAAAAGAGTAAGTACCCCTTATATCTGTAATATTGTGTTAACAAAATAAGAGTGCCCTAAGTTATCTTTTAAATTTTCATAGCTTTATGGGCGAAGAACGAAAACCGTTTGGGTGGCCCAAAAGTAACTACCCACACGCAACCCTTTAATAACTCACTTCATTCGTGTCAGAATTTCACAAAAATAGGGTGACGAAATCACTGATTAAGTGCCGAGATCACGTATCTGCAAGATCTTTAATTCTTGAGTGGTCATAACTCGGCTAAATTGTGTTCAATCAACATGAAATTTTGGGAAATCACTTGAATTATCTGAACGAATGTGTTTAGAAACTTTGGAGTTCCTAGCTCAAAGTTTTCTTACATTATGGCGGCAATAGTGAAAAAGAGGGAGTGGCGTGCCACACCCTCTGTAATCAATGAAATTTGCGAAACTTTCAGAATTCTAAGTTTGACCCATATCTATATTCTCTGAAATTTGTGTGAAATTCTAACACAAATTACGTCAGTTATTAAACGGTTGCGTGTGGGTAGTTACTTTTGGGCCACCCTGTATTATCATCAATCAGCTTGTGCATCACTTTGGAGTTTAATTTGGTTTTTGCATTTTCCCTCTCAATCATCTGGTTCAGATCACACATTATATTACATAGTTTAAGTTATAATAATATTGATGTAATATTCGTGATGTGTATTTCTCAGATAAAACATGAATTCTTTTAGACAGCATTTATTGACGAGTAAGTTATTGGTATTATATTTGTACAGTTTGGTTGCAACTTGTTGGATCCTGTCTCCTGATTGGACAGCTACAGAAATCCACCTGAGCAGTTGGGAGTTTACCATTCCCGAAACGGCAACAGCTATACATTCAACAGGCTGTAGCAATATATAAAATGTAGTTTTGATGTAGAATTTGTACTGATTTGTAGATATTGTAGATTTTTATGATTAAACTACAAAATTCAACAGATTGGAAGTCCGTGAAGTATTGTTTTTTTTTTGCCTTCTATAAATTCTCCACAATAAATTTTGGATAGAAGTAAAAATTTGGGCAGTATCCAGATAGCCCGACCCCTGTTCGCGAACAGGTGTTCGTCAACACTTATGACATGGTGGTTACCAGATCATATGACTCCATAATAATAGTACACAGACTTGCTTAGTTGCTTGCGATGATGTGAACCCCTTGACACTGAATCAAGCAGGGTTCACATCATTGCAAGCACGATTGGTTCACATTACCGCACGCGAATTTCAATCAGCGGTGAGATGTCGTGTTACCACGACCTAATATACCATAAAATATCGTAATAATTTATCTTATTGAGCAATATACTACGCTACAATGGTATCGCGACAATTGGCCCCCATGAATGATTCCCTTTCAGTTTTGGCTGGGCCTGGATCGATAGATCAGAAGAACTATTGACCCAGCCAAAACTGTGAGGGACCTAGGGGTTCTCCTGTCAAATGACTGCTGCTAGTCTTCTCACAGTCAAATACAACAGATGGCTAAAACAGCAAGGACGATGACGTCATGGGTCCTTAGCGTATTCAGAGATAGGTCACGCTTCCTCATGCTCACCCTTTACAAGACCTGAGACCATGGTGAGAAGCAAACTCGAATACTCCTGCCCGGTGTGGAATCCTGACAAAAGCAGCGATATGGAAGCTATTGAAAGCATCCAACGACAGTACACTCGTCGAATCAGTGGCTGCCAGAATCTTGATTACTGGGAAAGCCTGCAAAACCTGACTCTTCTTTCATTACATAGACACAGAGAACGATACATCATAACCCATATGGACACGTTCATAAAAAGGTGGCACTAGAGATTGATTTTTCACTGCCAAAATTGTGTGAAGCATTTTAAAATACTTGTATCTCAAGGAGTATGCTATGAAAGTTAACCAAATTTTAATATGTGGTCCAAAAAGATTCAAATATCACATAATTAAGTCATTCATCTCTTTATATCTGTTAATTGTGCAGATATGAGCCAGAAATCACAAAATATTCATTTCTTGCACCTCTAATGATGAATTTACATTCTGTGAGTGTGTCCTGCTTCTCAATGTGATTATTGAACCTTTTTGAGATAGTTGAGTGTTAAAAGTGCAAAGTATCACCGGTTAAATGTGGAGTTACGATGCAATTATCACACACAGGGTTAATTCTGACTAAGTGTTTTATAATGATGAATGTGATATGAATATCAACGGAATGATTGTAACAATGAACTCTATCAATCACAATTATATCATGCTCACTAATATTTAGAGAATTTAGATGGTTTAAAGTGCCATAATGAGTCAAAAATCACATAAATGAGCATGTATTGAAATTATGCTGTATCAGGGGAATGTATCACTTTTTGGCTCTATATCAGGTTGGTATTCATAGTAAATCTGTAGTAATTTGTTGTGACACTTGTTTATGGTCATGGAGAAGTTCGTTATTAGAGTAATAGTGGAATCAATAATCACAAAACACTGATTTTAAACTGAGTTAACTAGGCAAGTACTTTTACTACTCAAGCCATGATAATTTTGTCGCCATAATGTGACAAATGAATCATATCAGTAACATATAATACTTAATCGGATTTTTGAAATGTGATTATCGATTCATTACCTTTACTTTCAAAATGTCATTACAACTTGAACATTACGTATGATTCAATTATCACACTTTAAAGGAAATTACATATTTGGTAGCCAGAGTTGTGTGATTTTTGAATCATTTAAGCACCGAGATCAAAAATTATCGCTCAAAGACCTTCAATATGGTATAAGCTTAGACATGGATTCAAAAATCACATAATAAGAATCATAGAATGGATATAAATTGTCATATCATGCACTTAATTTAAGGCTTACTATAGTGTGACTTAACAGGGACAAAAGGATTTCGCGGCATGTACGAAATCGCGAAATTTCCCATTCTCCGCGACAAATTTTATGTATAGTTTAATGTATAGCCTGTTAAATTTCGCGGTACCGCGATTTTTGGCCAAAATAATCGCGAAATCCTTTTGTCCCTGTGACTTAATAGCGCACCTTTAACGAAAATGTGATTTTTGAATCATATTAACTGGTTTTAATACTATTTAATACTATTTTGTACCCTAAAAAATGATAGAAAGCCAATAAAAACGTAAGATGATTCAATATTCACTGCTCAAAATAGGCTCATTTCCAACGTTTAAGTTGTGATTTTTGAATCATTTTGGCACCAATAACAATTTCAGATAAGACATTCCATTCCTTACATGCATTATAATCACCATATCAATTTTGGCGTCTTTGTGAATAGTACTTTTCAGATTATCTAGTGTTGATTCATCTTGCATTTCTAATTGTGTGATATTTGAATCATTGGCACACAAATAACGATAACTCCTGTGATATAAGCACTAGAGACTCCGTGATTTCAGGATCATGAAATTTAATCGAATTTCTAAAGGTATAGATAGATATATCAACCAACAAAGAACAATGACTATTTTTAAAACGCATTTTTAAAAATCAATCTCTAGTGCCACCTTTTTTTTAACGTGTCCATATATGGAAGATGATGAATGGACTAGCTCCGAACGACATGCAGTTCTCCCGTGATGTTAAAATTACAGGAGAAGGTGATACTGTGGCATATGCAACATGACCTTAATATCGCTAACGACATCAACAAACGACAATTCGGCTTTAAGAAGGGATGTTCGACTGAACACTGATGACTGAAGCATCCCTTCATAAAGTAACTCACACCATTGAGCGCAGGATAGCTAAGAAAGGATACGTCTTAGGAATCTTTCTAGATATAGAGGGAGCCTTTGATAATGTCTCTTTCAAGGCTATTTCTTACGCTATCATTATCAAGACCACGAAAGTGGATCTGGCCATAGCACAATGGATCATCAACATGGTAACTAATTCATCACACTATATCATAAGGATAAGTCGAGAAGAGTTCGGATCCGGAGAGGGTGCCCATAAGGAGGCATCCTTCCCCCTTTCCTTTGGAACCTGGTACTGGTAGTCGATGATCTCCTGGCCTACACTGCTAGAGACATACCGGGTTATCTGCAAGCTTTTACAAATGATCTGTTGTCTCTAGCAGAGGGGAATGATTTAGATATCATCTGGGACAGAAAATGCAAAACTATCAACACGATAGAATTTCTACTTCGAAGAAATTTAGACGAGTAACATCCGCGTCAATCACATATTACGTAATCAATTTATTTTTGACAAATTCTCACAGTCTCTAGAAAAGAATGGTACAAAAATTTTGAAAATCCGAGCAAGTTTATTATTATCGTGCACCGCGGCCCTACTAATTTGACAAAACCGTCGAGTCCAAGTCCAACGAGTCCAACTAGGTGCGCGTACATAAAACCAACGCGCAGTTTAATAAAGACTTTCGCTTTCATTTTTAAACGCTTCCACTTTGACAAAGCATAAATCACCACCAAATAAGTCAAATTTCAATTTTAAAATACCAAAAGAAACTAAAGAATTTTGTCAACACAAAAGGGGCTCCCTGGATGGCCGGGGTAGTAAAAACGCGCTCGTTAGGTCATTGCATTTGCACTCTTCAATTATTCCAAGCATGCAATTGCAACACGTACCACGTCGCGTGATACGATTCGGGCAATCAGAGAACAAGAATCCGCAAAGTTAAAGCTGCGCACTTTTATAAGGCCCAAAATAAGATTTCTCGCGATAGTTCAGAATCGACGTTGTTTTAAAATTTCCTCCTGGGGAGGAAACGTTATTTTTACAAGGCGAATATTTTGTTGAAAACCAGACGTTTCTATTTCTTTTATTTTCAAAGTAAGGCCCCTACGGTAATCACACTATATAATGACAACACTATATAATGACAAGCACTTTATAATGACAGCTGATCTTTGTCATTATATAGTCTGCAAAACGTACTATATAATGACAACACTATATAGTGACAAGTTTATCTTATATCGACTTTTCCTTACTTTTCGGCCCCTACCAGTAAGGTTTCCTGGGCCATAAAACCAACACGCAGTTTAAAGACTTTCGCTTTCATTTTTAAAAGCTTCCACTTATTGACAAAGTATAAATCACCATAAAATAAGACAAATTTCAATTTTAAAATACCAAAGGCAAAAGAAACTTCAGAATTTTTTCAACACAAAAGGGGCTCACTAAATAGGGTAGTAAAAACGCGATCTTCACCCTCAAAATCGACTTTTAAAATTTCATACTTTTCCCCGTCAAAATAAGCTTTATTCTATATATCATTATATAGTCTGCAAAACGAGTAGCAGTTCCTCAGCACCTATCCGGAATGTTTCTAATAAAGATTCTATTTCTAATAAAAATCGTCGAGATGCGCTAATGAGTACTGGGTCTCGCCGAGCTGCGAAGAATTGACATCGTCAATATTAATTATAATGGACAATTTTAATAACATTTGATCATTGATGTATTGCGCGCGCGTATAACATATATGATATACAGGCCAATTATAAATTTTCTATCCTGTACATCGTATGTGGTATGATCGTGCGCTTATTCAATAACTTTGCGGAAGAAAATACTGCGCCACATTTCTTTCAATAATTCAAATTCAATACGGTACGTTCAGCTCATAACTCGCACTTCATTTGTATTGTGTTGGGACTATATTCCAAATTGTTAAGCGCATGACCGTTTAACAATTTGCACTTTGTTCATGTGCGCCATTTTTGCTTTTTTGGCGAACAATACGTTTGATGTTATTAGTTTGAACTACAAATATAGCCCACAAACTAACGCCACCTTTAAATTTTCTGAGCAATATCTCTAGACTTACAGTTAGTATCCTATAAAGTTGCTTCTCCCGTTTAATTTTAAGATACTTTGTGGTTTGTTGCTAAGATGGTAAGTTCGTACGGTACGTACCTTTAAATTAGCTGTACGGTACGTACTTAATAAAGTAGGCTGAAAGGTTGAATCCAGTTGATAGCAATGGAAACAAAAACTAGACGGTACGTGCGACAGAGAAGGGGTAAAACCCTACACTGATGCGGAATCAGAACCTATGAAGCTTATTAATCCGTCAATATACTGGAAATATTTTGGAGGAGAACTTTTTCTGCTTAAACAGTTGGCCCAAATAGTATTCAGTGTTTTCGTCAATTTGTGAGACCAATTTTAGAGATTACGAGTATATTATGGACAAGCGTAGATTAAGGTTGCGACCTGAGCTAGCTGAAAAGCTGGTGTTCGTATACTGCAACAAAAGGATGAAGCTTTGAGTTTATCGATAATTACAAGTAATAGTAGTGTAGTACCGGTTAAGAGCGATCCAGTACACAAATTTTCCTTTTAAATCTTTTATTGTTTTAACCACTTTGTTAATTTTCGACTTCTATCTCAAAAATTATGATGATAATACTAATCAGAAATTGCAAGTAATTCACTGAAGTTGATTCTAAAAATTTGAAAAAAATTGTACCTTACAGTGCCTGTACGGTACGTACCTTTAAAAGTTAAGTAGCTGTACCGTACGTACTTAAAGCCCTGTACCGTACGTACTTGCCATCTAAGGTATGTTGCTGCTCTATTCTTCAAATTATCACTGATATCTAAACAAAATTAACATTTTTATCATGATCATAATCGCTATAATTATAAGTTATAACTTATTTTAATCCTTATAAAATTTTAAGCTTAGATTTTAAGCTTTTAGATTAAAAAGATTAGATCTAATATTCACCAATTAGCGAATATTAGATCTTATTAATCTAAAAGGTGTTAAGAACAGGTTTTCCTGCGACGGACTTCGAAAAATGGCAGATGTAAGTCTATACCAAACTATTCTCTAAAACTTTTTCTATCATTTCGCTCTCTTATATCAATTCCTACCAATGTTGGTTTATCTTCACAATGGTCATGAAATCAAAAGTGTCTTATACCGCAATAACCACTACGCTAACTATAATATGGTATCATGATTTTTTTTTTATTGAAATCTTTCAATTATTATCATCAGAATTTATTACAATATCAATGTTGTATAGAATTTCTAAAAATGGACTAGAGAAACCAAAAAATGCCTTGACAAGTGTACAGCGATGATAACAATCAGGGGACACCAATACACCCAAATAACCAAACAAAAGGCCTCGAGAGACCTGATGAAAAGTCGAGCAATTACATTGGGCCCCAAGTGCAGAAGGAGAAAAATGGGCAAATTGAAATAATATGAGCTGTGAACTTAGGAGGCATTTCTAGGTTTTTAAGAATAATTGCCACAACCCAAAAATTCTCAATTACAATTGGCTGATTTGTAATATTTCCAATGGAATGAAGTTTTAACGATAAAATTTAAATAATTGAATATAAAAGACTAAATCAAAATTGTATCCGAATAAAGCAAAAATGCGTGATGAGTACCTCAAAAAAAATTAAAACAAAAATAATAGAGAAATACACTACCCGTAGTCTGGAGAAAAAGAATTGTCAGGATCTGAACTAGGGTCAATATCTACAGATGCAGTACAAACATGTTCCTTCCAGATGTGTTTAATAAGTTCTGTTTTAAACACACCTGGTCTGATAATCTCTCGAAGGGAAAGAGGAAGTCGGTTCCAAGTGAGATGAGCTCGATAAAAGTAAGATTTAGATATAGCTGAGCCAGGTGGAATTGAAGATATTACTGATAAGTGATCAAGATGTGAGCTTCTCAGTCGGCTTGACCCGGAGAAGAAAGTAAGGTACTGAGGCAGAGTGGTGCATGGGTGGTATTGATGCACTAGGGAATGAAAGAACTTGAGATCATGGTAATCAAACCTGTACTTTAGGGGCAGAATATTTAACTGTTTACAATGGGCATTATAGATTCCCTCTACACTATAGCTTACACCGTAATCATTACGAATCCATTTGAGGGCCCTTTTCTGCAATCCTTCAAGCCTATTGATAGTGCTACTGGACGCTGGTCGCCAAATGATAGCCCCATTAATACACATTGCTGACGTCCGGAGAGGTAACTTTTCATAAATTGGAGAAGCATTCCATCGATGTTATAATAAAATTTTAGCTTGTATAGTATTAAGTCGTGGTTAACGGAATCGAATGCTTTGGCAAAATCGAAGTAAACAATATCAGATCTAATGTTCTTGTTAAGAGAGAGGGATAGGCTATCGCAGAATTCAACCATCTGAGTTGCACAAGATTTGTGAGGCAGGAAACCATGTTGACGAGGATCAATTTTATCATAACATCTACTCAAAAGTTCATCTCGAATAATTCTTTCCATGACTTTCATAACTAAGCTAGTCAAAGATATTGGCCTATAATTCTTAATGTCATTCTTGGAGCCTTTCTTGTGTACTGGAACAACAATTGCATATTTCCAATTTGAAGGTAGGAAGCCGGATACATAGCACTTTGTGAAAAGAATCTCCAGTGCTGGGGCTAACGTAAAGGCACATTTTTTAAGAACTTCACCATGGATTTTATCCGGTCCCATAGCTTTTCTAGTATTCAAATTCTTGAGAATATCATACTAATTTGATAAAAATTCGATCAAATTTGAACTAATTGTTAATGTTTCATGATATTAAAATATTCTTAAAATTTTAGATATTAAATATTTGAATAGTTTTTTAGAGTATTTAAATATTAAACTTCACTTTCCTCAGGCTCCAGGTCAGCCCGGTTATCCTCTTCAACAATATCCTCAGGCTCAGGCTCAAGTTCAACCACAAGTTGTTGTGGTAAATATGTATTTTTTGAAAGTTTTTTTTTATTTCTCCTGTTTTAACATGTTTTAAACGCTGAATAAGTTAGATAGTGAAAATTACATAATATTGTTACAATTGCAGTAGCACAAAGGCACTCCATTTGTACATAACTGTAAGATAATTTGAGGTGCCTGATGAACACAGTACAACTATAGGCGGTGTACAATGCACATATAATGTTACTGATCTCCTGAGCTATTTATGGTCTGTAACTGAACTGTAAAAGTTGGATGATTATTAATCACTCTACACTCTACTGTCGCGTGACATTTTTAATACATTCTCTAGATGGCCCTGAAGGACTATTCGAAACCTTAACCCTGGCATCTACATTCTACACTGACCCGAACCCTAACAGTAACCCTAACCCAATCCCTAACTGAAGCAAATGCTAAAACCCTAACACATAACAGTAACGAGAAAATATACACATTATTTTTATTCCTCATTTCCTACCTTAAAAGCGATCAGAAATCACTCGCTTAAAAGATATTACCTGGCCAGAATCCCACAGTAACTCTAATTCTATACGAGTCTATACCTACTTACCTACTTACTGTTATACCTTACTGTTATATAAGTATAACTGTTGCTAATCCCTCAAGAAAGTGCGACCTTCATGTAACCGTGTAATATGAGCTCCTTGTTCGTTGTGATCACGTGATATAATATTAATATTCGTTTGAGCGTGTTTCATATATTTAGTTTCTGCTGCTGCTGGAGCTGCAACATAAACATTAAACTATGATAAACATAAGCTATAAAGCACTGAGGATTGGTATTGTTTTGTACATTCAATATTAGTTTATTCTCGGTATCATTTTGCATTTACAGACGGTCATTCAGATTAATATCATTTACTTTTGTTTGGGAAAGAAAGACACTGGAAGCGGTCCTTTCTTATCTACCCAGTACCCAATTCTGGGTTTGGTCAAATAAGTTATAACATATTTCAATCCTTATACAATTTTAAGCTCAGATTTAAGCCTTTAGATTAAAAAGAATAAATCTAATATTCACCGATTAGCGGATATTAGATCTTTTTAATCTAAAAGGTGTTAAGAACAGGTTTTTCTGCGATGGACTTTGAAAAATGGCGAATGTAATTCTATACTAAACTATTCTCTAAAACGTTTCCTATCATTTCGCTCTCTTATATTAAATCCTACCAATGTTGGTTTATCTTCACGCAATGGTCATGAAATAAAAAGTGTCTTATACCGCTACGCTAACTATAAATATAATATGGTATCAACTTCAAGATACTAATTTATTAAAAATTCGATTGAATTTGAACTAATTGTTTCACAATATTAAAATATTCTTAAAATTTTAAATATTAAATATTTGAATAATTTATTTTAAAATATTGAAATATTAAACTTCACTTTCCTCAGGCTTCAGGTCAGCCCGGTTATCCTCTTCAACAGAATCCCCAGGCTCAGGCTCAAGTTCAACCACAAGTTGTTGTGGTAAATATATATTTTTGGAAAGTTTTTTTATTTCTCCTGTTTTAACATGTTTTAAACGCTGAATAAGTTAGATAGTGAAAATTACATAATATTGTTACAATTGCAGTAGCACAAAGGCACTCCATTTGTACATAACTGTAAGATAATTTGAGGTGCCTGATGAACACAGTACAACTATAGGCGGTGTACAATGTACATATAATGTTACTGATCTCCTGAGCTATTTATGGTCTGTAACTGAACTGTAAAAGTTGGATGATTATTAACCACTCTACACTCAACTGTCACGTGACTTTTTAATACGTTCTCTAGGTGGCCCTGAAGGACTATTCGAAACCTTAACCCTGGCCCCTACAGTCTACACTGACCCGAACCCTAACCCTAACCCAATCCCTATCTGAAGCAAATGCTAAAACCCTAACACATAACAGTACGAGTTTATACCTACTGTTGCTAATCCCTCAAGAAAGTGAGACCTTCATGTAACCGTGTAATATGAGCTTCTTGTTCGTTGTGATCACGTGATATAATATTCGTTTGAGCGTGTTTCATATTTAGTTTCTGCTGCTGCTGGAGCTGGAGCATAAATATTAAACAGTGATAAATACATAAGCTATAAAGCACTGAGGATTGGTATTGTTTTGTACATATCATGAAACGGATCGTTTGCTCGCCATCTTGATTGTTTCAATTTGTTCGAATTATAATGCTCCTGCTTAACTGTAGTTGAGCACTCTCTTTGGGAAACCAAGCAACAATTAATCATAAGCTATAAAGCTGTAAATATGATCACTTTTAAATTGACATGATTGATTATGTAACTTACTAAGATAGTAATAGTATTATTACGTCAATTAGTTAATTACTACCATCATAGTAAGATGTAAGACAGGTAATACGACTGACAATATAATGAGTGTAACTGTAAGCTAAATAATAATTGTTTTAAGGGGACTTAATGATTTACAGTCTCGTTTTAATATGATATTGCACTACAGTAAATACTGCTGACTGCTGAGTGTTAGTTTTTATCTTAATAGTATTATAAAAGTGGTGTTATTATTCTTTAATACACTAATGGTATCATCTTAAAAACACTAATTATACACTAATTTTAAAAAAATTGTATTGTAAATTGTATTGAGTACCGTGTATACTGTATAGTAGCGACTTGACAATAAACTAAATAATATCTTATTTTCTAACTTAACCGTAACATAACCTAGGTACAACAAGGAAACCAAGGAGTTGCCCCAGAAACAAACTCCATCATGGCCTATATATCGCTTCTGTTCTGCTGTCCGATTGGAATTTTTGCTGTGTTAAGAGCTAACGAGGCAAACGCGTGTATTGGAAGAGGAGATTTTCAAGGGGGAAAAATATATGGAGAGGTGCTCACTTACCTATTTGACATTTGAATCTTAATTTAGCTCCTTCTGCTACGATGAATTATTGCTTTCCATGAACACAAACGTATTTTACTGTAGAACGATTGGTGCGCAAACCTTCTCATAAATCACTTCCCAGGCGGCTAAGAAATGTGCTAAAGGAGCGATCATCACAGGAGTAGTTCTAGGAATTGTCTCTGTAATCGGCTCTGTTTTGAATATCTTATTCGGTACAGCTGCTCAAGTTTCATCATCATATTCATCATCATATTCATCATATTCATAGGGTAAGTGCGAAATAGATATTTTTATTTTATTATTATGATATTTTAGAGTATTACTTTGATATGGTTAATTGAATTGGTGAATGCTCCCTCTCGTGTGATTTGTTTCCGTTTTCAGGTGAACACCCAGATTATCAGATATCTTAACGTTAGCCATCCTAACTAAACTCCTTACAACCGTCAAAATCACATCTAGTCTTTGAGCGGACTTTGGATTGCTGATTCTTAGAACATAGATCGTAAAACAGATCTCTGTAGATATAGATTAGATTATATGTGGAGTAACGTTAAAATGTTATGACCGCGTAAAGTAATTTTGGTTGATTATAAAAATGCTGTTAAAGCTATTATGTTAATGTAGAGTGTAGATGTATGGCAACTCAAATAAGCACATCTATGATCTATCTAATATTACACTAACAGCAACATTCACCTTGAATTCATAAACTATCTATGTGCATTTTTTTCTTCTCTGAGTCTGAACTGAAAGATTGATTTTCTTTTGTAGCTATTTAGTAACGCGATAATCTGATAATTTGCCGAAACTTTGTAATTGGTAATGTCGAAACCGTAATTTGATTTAAATCCTGATCGTTGTGATGAAAACAATTTCCCGATATTCTGAGTTTCTTATTTTCACTGAAACGATTCTTTGTAATAATTCAATCTTTGTACTTGTAGCAAAATAATTATTTTTCACATTTATTTGTAATAAAATGAAATGAAGTATTTATATCCCGCTCATGTGATTTACCAACAACACCAAAAAAAAGTAAACCATGTCAGAGCGGCTGACTGTGACTGATGTGAGAAAATGTGTAAATGTGAAAAAAAACTCAAAAGTATAACTCATTATAAGGCAAAGACAAAATTAAAACATCTTTTATTGTTTAACCATACAATATATTATGTAGGTATGACAAAGGTTAGTACAGTTACATAATCAACCAAAAAGAAACAGATCCTAGAAAGGTTGAGATCAAGACATAAAATGGAGTGCGGAAAAAATGAAAGCCCAGGTGTCTGAAGACAAATGGAAAAGAAAATATATTATTATTATGTTGAAAGGGAGAATCAGCAGATTTCTCCAAGTTTAAATTTGTTAATCAGCGCATCTTGTATTAGTCAGGTACGTGTTCTTATTTCTTTTAATTTAGCATTTATATTAGTATTTGGTATTAGGCTAGTTAAATTTAATGATAAGGATTTCCGCGGGTAAAGTTTTATTTTAGCTTATCTCTATTTACACGCGTTTTGTTGTAAATATCGGTTTAAGCGAGCTTATCTATTATCTAGATAAGAGCTGTCCGCTCATGTTTGCACTTAACTGGCAGAGTGGCCTGTGGTTTGTTCTTGCGACTGCAGGGTGACTGACTAGCGGAGTGTTCATTGGCGAGACTGCTAGTCACGTGGGACAAGCAGATGCGTTGTCCCGTCACGCATTATTGCGTGGCAGGTTTGTTTGAGAGTATACCCGATGCACGGGAGAAAAGTCGGGACTTCTTGAGCTGTTTCTAAATTTTGAAAGACCAGTGATAAATCCTATCGTGATTTAGATTCACCCGTCTACATTCACGCCAAACTGTTTGGAGCGGACTAAGAAGTATTTCTCGTTTGTTGTTCACATTGTATTACCCTTTTATTAATTAGCTTCTCCTTTTAATATACTTGTTTCCTTTTTATCTTTTCGATACGCCCTACCGTTCGTGTTACGTGACCAGAGCTTGAATAGTATACACTAAACCCCAGAGAACTCGCTTTTCTATAATTATATTATATAACTTTATTCTGACCACCCTAGCCCATAATTACTGCGTCTGCATGGTTTTCAAATTACAGGTGCGTGCTGTACCATTTGTTCATATCAACGTACTGTGCTAGTTTACTGTGTCTGTACTACTGTTAACTACCGTACACAATAATGCAGCAGTAGTCGGGATATAAGGCTGTCAACTAAATCAACAATTATAACGATTACTTTCAGTTCTCAGGTAATAGTGGTCAATGTGGGGCGAAAATTCATGGAAGCTAGGCAGGTATATTTAGTCAGACAAATACACAGTATATTTAGCGTTTTACGTTTGTAATGACGATACATGGAACTTCTCATGAGGTTTCATGATATCTATATGATATTCATTCATGATCAACCTAGTATTTTGGTACTTATCACTGCAGTAACACGTGACATTCCTCCGTATAAGTATAACCGTGAGAGATTGGGGAGATAAGATTATCTAACCAACAAGGTATTTTATAACCGTATTAGGAGATAAAAGTGCTTGGTATGATGAAACATTGCCATGAGTAGCAGTTCCTCAGCACCTATCCGGAATGTTTCCAATAAAGTCAAAAGTCAAAACGCGGAAACTTATATCGTCTGACAATGTGATCGTGTTTATAAACCAGAGTATTTGTAGGAGAGCTCACATGTTGCTCACCTTATCAGTATCTCTCCTCCTCCTACTCGGAACCCTTGCCACCACCACCGCAGACTCTACCTCGCACGATGCTGGACAAAGACTGGTAGAAAGACGCTACAGAGGACTAAAGTTTGGAGCAACTGCTCAAGACTACGTTCTGTTAAAGCCAAGAATGGAACCCCTAGATGAGTCCTTCTCGGTATGTGGATGGGTGAAGAAGGTACGGCATGGTAGTAGTAAGTGGTGGTTTGCTTACGGAACCTCTAGTTATGTCGAGGAGATCTATTCAGACGATGACGGATATCTCGGGACGTTTGGCACTGTTGGGAAATAAGGTAACTGAACAACTAGGGATATGGAGACACGTTTGCTACACGTGGAGTCCCACTACCAGAGCAGCTAGTGTGTACTTTGATGGCATCCTTCTCGGATCATCATAACCCCCTCTGGTAAGGGGATGACTTGTGACGAAATACCCAATTAGAGTTAGTACAAGCCAAACACAAGGATATCTCGTGTCACAGATCATATGCACCTGTTGCAGCCAGTCGCAGACCTTGGTCGCCATAATTGAGCTCTAAGTGACGTTAAGTGACCGGTGAGCCACACTTCTTGACAATTTTTTTTAGAATAACGACCCAATCATATCCGGAATGTTTCTAATAAAGTCAAAAGTCAAAACCCGGAAACTTATATCGTCTGACAATGTGATCGTGTTTATAAACCAGAGTATTTGTAGGAGAGCTCACATGTTGCTCACCTTATCTCTCCTCCTCCTACTCGGAACCCTTGCCACCACCACCGCAGACTCTACCTCGCACGATGCTGGACAAAGACTGGTAGAAAGACGCTACAGAGGACTAAAGTTTGGAGCAACTGCTCAAGACTACGTTCTGTTAAAGCCAAGAATGGAACCCCTAGATGAGTCCTTCTCGGTATGTGGATGGGTGAAGAAGGTACGGCATGGTAGTAGTAAGTGGTGGTTTGCTTACGGAACCTCTAGTTATGTCGAGGAGATCTATTCAGACGATGACGGATATCTCGGGACGTTTGGCACTGTTGGGAAATAAGGTAACTGAACAACTAGGGATATGGAGACACGTTTGCTACACGTGGAGTCCCACTACCAGAGCAGCTAGTGTGTACTTTGATGGCATCCTTCTCGGATCATCATAACCCCCTCTGGTAAGGGGATGACTTGTGACGAAATACCCAATTAGAGTTAGTACAAGCCAAACACAAGGATATCTCGTGTCACAGATCATATGCACCTGTTGCAGCCAGTCGCAGACCTTGGTCGCCATAATTGAGCTCTAAGTGACGTTAAGTGACCGGTGAGCCACACTTCTTGACAATTTTTTTTAGAATAACGACCCAATCATATCCGGAATGTTTCTAATAAAGTCAAAAGTCAAAACCCGGAAACTTATATCGTCTGACAATGTGATCGTGTTTATAAACCAGAGTATTTGTAGGAGAGCTCACATGTTGCTCACCTTATCTCTCCTCCTCCTACTCGGAACCCTTGCCACCACCACCGCAGACTCTACCTCGCACGATGCTGGACAAAGACTGGTAGAAAGACGCTACAGAGGACTAAAGTTTGGAGCAACTGCTCAAGACTACGTTCTGTTAAAGCCAAGAATGGAACCCCTAGATGAGTCCTTCTCGGTATGTGGATGGGTGAAGAAGGTACGGCATGGTAGTAGTAAGTGGTGGTTTGCTTACGGAACCTCTAGTTATGTCGAGGAGATCTATTCAGACGATGACGGATATCTCGGGACGTTTGGCACTGTTGGGAAATAAGGTAACTGAACAACTAGGGATATGGAGACACGTTTGCTACACGTGGAGTCCCACTACCAGAGCAGCTAGTGTGTACTTTGATGGCATCCTTCTCGGATCATCATAACCCCCTCTGGTAAGGGGATGACTTGTGACGAAATACCCAATTAGAGTTAGTACAAGCCAAACACAAGGATATCTCGTGTCACAGATCATATGCACCTGTTGCAGCCAGTCGCAGACCTTGGTCGCCATAATTGAGCTCTAAGTGACGTTAAGTGACCGGTGAGCCACACTTCTTGACAATTTTTTTTAGAATAACGACCCAATCATATCCGGAATGTTTCTAATAAAGTCAAAAGTCAAAACCCGGAAACTTATATCGTCTGACAATGTGATCGTGTTTATAAACCAGAGTATTTGTAGGAGAGCTCACATGTTGCTCACCTTATCTCTCCTCCTCCTACTCGGAACCCTTGCCACCACCACCGCAGACTCTACCTCGCACGATGCTGGACAAAGACTGGTAGAAAGACGCTACAGAGGACTAAAGTTTGGAGCAACTGCTCAAGACTACGTTCTGTTAAAGCCAAGAATGGAACCCCTAGATGAGTCCTTCTCGGTATGTGGATGGGTGAAGAAGGTACGGCATGGTAGTAGTAAGTGGTGGTTTGCTTACGGAACCTCTAGTTATGTCGAGGAGATCTATTCAGACGATGACGGATATCTCGGGACGTTTGGCACTGTTGGGAAATAAGGTAACTGAACAACTAGGGATATGGAGACACGTTTGCTACACGTGGAGTCCCACTACCAGAGCAGCTAGTGTGTACTTTGATGGCATCCTTCTCGGATCATCATAACCCCCTCTGGTAAGGGGATGACTTGTGACGAAATACCCAATTAGAGTTAGTACAAGCCAAACACAAGGATATCTCGTGTCACAGATCATATGCACCTGTTGCAGCCAGTCGCAGACCTTGGTCGCCATAATTGAGCTCTAAGTGACGTTAAGTGACCGGTGAGCCACACTTCTTGACAATTTTTTTTAGAATAACGACCCAATCATATCCGGAATGTTTCTAATAAAGTCAAAAGTCAAAACCCGGAAACTTATATCGTCTGACAATGTGATCGTGTTTATAAACCAGAGTATTTGTAGGAGAGCTCACATGTTGCTCACCTTATCTCTCCTCCTCCTACTCGGAACCCTTGCCACCACCACCGCAGACTCTACCTCGCACGATGCTGGACAAAGACTGGTAGAAAGACGCTACAGAGGACTAAAGTTTGGAGCAACTGCTCAAGACTACGTTCTGTTAAAGCCAAGAATGGAACCCCTAGATGAGTCCTTCTCGGTATGTGGATGGGTGAAGAAGGTACGGCATGGTAGTAGTAAGTGGTGGTTTGCTTACGGAACCTCTAGTTATGTCGAGGAGATCTATTCAGACGATGACGGATATCTCGGGACGTTTGGCACT